GCGTGGAGGGTGGCGGCGCCGGAGCCGATGCGCTGGCCATTGGGGTCGGGCACTGCCAGAGTGATCGTGGAGGCGGCTATGCGGCCCACCCGCTTGGCGCGCGTGAGCTGCCACTCGTAGAGCTGGGCTTGCTCGGGACTGGCCGCCGTCAAGACGATGGCGTCCCACGTGGGAACTCGGGTCGGGTGCCTCACCGACAGCCGTAGGTGGTACCATGATTTCCGGAGCACGCCTGCCACGTCAGCCTTCTGTCGGGATCGAGAGACTCTGCGGGTTTCCATTTTCTGCGAGTGTGCAGAGAGATAAAAAATTAAAAAAAGGTGAGACTTTCAGAAGATGGAGAAATTTGTACCAGTGCTGTCATTGCACCCTTCGCAGATGCACCGACCAATGATTTAACAGAAACTGTACACGTGGCGATTGGGCTGTGATAATTAAATTGTCGTTGTCTAATAATTGAAAGCATACGACTCGTCGTATAACTCAAGTCTAAAACAGCAAAAATGTTGATGGGGTTCAAAAAATCACGATGGCTTCGCCCGGGTTCGAACCGGAGACCTTCAGTGTGTTAGACTGACGTGATAACCAACTACACCACGAAACCTTTGTGCTCTTGGTACTCTCTTGTTTTTATTTATAACATATTGGTCTCTGGTTCATGTGTTGCAACTTGCATGTATGTATCTAAATACCTTGCGGTGAAAGCATTCATAAAAAAATTTATGACATGAAAAATATAATTCAAAGTTATTGATTGATTTTTTTTAATGTACAAACAATATCTAAACTATTCTAAATTAATCTTGAAGGAGGGGAACTTAAATTTGAGTATAAGGTGGCAGATTTATTATCTGATCAACTAGCTTAACTCATGTCTCCAATTTAATTTACTGATTTTGATTCGAAAGTGATGTTAAAATAAATAGTGAAAAATGCAAAACCATTTTATGCTTCCTTTGAGGGGGTTAAAATTTTCTTCCCTAATATCATCACCGGTTGTTTAGAATTAGTGATGGAAAGAATTACTTGCACTTGGGCCCCACAAATACAATTAACCAATTTTTTTTGTTTCTTTCAAAAAAAAAAAAAAAAGAAGGAAAAGGATCTCAAACGGTCGAATTGCACCCCTCCTCTCTCTCTCTCTCTCTCGCTCTCTCTCTCATCTGGGTCATCCCAATGTTCAACTTCCAGCACTTTTGAGAGCCTTTTCTGCGACTTGGGTTTGCTTAAGAGATGGATTTCCTCAAGTGGGTTGTGATGGGCTTGGTGTAAAGAATGAGAAAATCGATTTGTATGGAACTTGGGGTCTTGAACTCTCTCGGCTCATTGCCTCACTCCATTGACATCGAATGCCGATTTCGCTTCCAATCGGCATTCGATCCCTTCTGCATTGCCTCCGAAGCCTTCTATGAGCGTCGTCGGTTGTTGACCCGATCAACCGCGATTGCTCCCATTAGCTGAATGAGAGAACATACTTTTTAAAGAATAAAATTTGACCCACAAAACTATTTAATAAAGCGAAAACAAATTATATAAAAAGTCCTTGTCTTTCTGGTAGCTGTTTGGTTCTTCACAGGAAATGGATACAGGGGTTGGTTTGGTTCCACCATCAAGTAATGGAATGCTTTCGAAGGTGAAGCCTCCCGATGAAGAGGCCGATCATGTAGAGAGAGACCCGAGCAATCGATATGTTCGGGTATTTGTCACAACTTGAATTGCATTTTGGATTGGAAATGTTAATCGGAATTTGATATCTTATTGAAATTTAGATTGTGCTTATTGGTGAATGCTGGTTTTCAATCTGCAATCTTGTTTTTTGTTCCTTGTCGATATGTTTGTATGGTTTTGGTGTATTGACATTCATGTTGTAATTGGTCACGTTTGATGCAAATATATTGGCTCAAGCCATTGATTTAATCTAAGTTAGTATTGATTGTTCATAGTTGATTTATTTACTCCATAATCAGTATCTTCTTCTGCTTCATATAATTTCTTGACATAAATTGTTATCTATCATTCCCTGAATCTGGTTTTTTTTTTCAATTTTGCATGTCCTTTGTTTTATTAATTATCAGATTGAGCTAACTTTCAAGCCAATTTGCCTGACTATATAGATAATTTATTGCTTCCAGCTTGCCCATGTTATTGCCTGTTAGAAATGAGAAATTTGTTTTTGTTTTTCTCATTCAGTCCTTATTTCTTCTTTGATTCATTTATTCTCTTTTTCTTGGTAACAGTACAATGAAATCTTGGGCAAGGGTGCCTTCAAGACTGTGTATGGTTCTGAGACCTTTTTCTCTTTAATTTCTTTCTTTCTTCCTCCTTCAGATTCATTGTATTGCTATTTCTTTCGGAAAGTCATTGCCTTTCTTTTCTTTCTTTGGTTTGAAAGCCATTACATTTAGGAAGTTATATTTTGTTAACTTGAAGCAATTTTTCTGGCTTTTCGCTTGGATTTGTCATTTCGTTCTGCAGCTACAAGGCATTTGATGAAGTTGATGGAATAGAAGTCGCTTGGAACCAAGTGAAGATTGATGCTGTCTTGCGATCACCAGAAGATTTGGAAAAATTGTACTCTGAAGTTCATCTGCTGAAATCACTGAATCATGAAAATATTATTAAGTTCTATAATTCCTGGGTGGATGACCACAAAAATACTATTAACATGATTACTGAGCTCTTCACATCTGGAAGTCTAAGGCAGTATGTTCTATTAATTGTTTCTCATTCTGTCTTTGTATTGCTTGGCTGCACTATATGCCATTGAACTGATGATGCACCTTTTGGTTATCAGGTACCGGAAGAAGTATAAAAATGTCGATACGAAGGCCATAAGGAATTGGGCGAGGCAGATTCTCCGAGGTTTAGTCTTTCTCCACAGTCACAACCCGCCTATCATTCATAGAGACTTAAAATGTGACAATATTTTCATCAATGGAAATCATGGAGAAGTTAAAATCGGAGACCTGGGATTGGCAACTGTTATGCAACAACCTACTGCTCGAAGTGTGATTGGTGAGAAATCTATGTCATCAGATGCCATCTCTTAATTTTAACTGACCAAATAAGTACTGAAATTTTTCCTTTTTCTACTCTCCTTAAGGGACTCCTGAGTTTATGGCTCCAGAGCTCTATGAAGAGGAGTATAACGAACTCGTCGACATATACTCTTTCGGGATGTGCATGTTAGAGATGGTTACTTTTGAGTATCCATATAGTGAATGCAAAAGTCCTGCTCAAATATTTAAGAAGGTTACCTCTGTAAGTTGACGAAAATCATCAGAACTATCATCATTATTCTTTCTGGTGGCTGTTTGAAGTAGAATCATTAGATAGCCTAGGTATCTAATTTCTGGTATGTTATATTGCAGGGCATTAAACCTGCATCCCTTGGTAAGGTGAATGACCCCCAAATTAAAGAGTTCATTGAGAAATGTCTGGTTCAAGCATCCGAGAGGCTTTCTGCAAAAGAGCTGCTCAAAGACCCATTCCTTCAAGCTGACAACCCGATGGAACCAATCCGTGATCCCTTACAGTTACCTAACCAGAGTCTGAAAGTAATAACTTTACCCAAGTCGGGGCCTCTTTCCATGGACATAGATACTGATTATAAGCAGCTATCTATAAGCACATGTGCAGGAAGCAACAATGGAAGTCCACAGGTTCTGGAATTTCAAAGGACAAATAAAAACAACCAGTTCAGGTTAAATGGGATGAAAAATGACGATGATTCAGTCTCCTTGACCTTGCGTATTGCAGATGCATGTGGTGAGTATGCAAACTGGGAGAGAGTGGATATCCAAATTTTTGTAGTGTGGTTCCAGTGCAGGAATTTAATAACATGACTCTTTGTGTACCTTACAGGTAAGGTGAGGAACATACATTTTCTCTTTTACCTTGCTACTGATACTGCAGTGTCTGTGGCGAGTGAGATGGTTGAACAACTGGAGTTAACAGATCATGATGTAGCCTTCATTGCTGAGTTTATTGATTACTTGATAATGAAACTTCTACCCGGTTGGAAGCCTTCATCTGATTATTCCTCAAGCGGACCTGTAAGTCCTTATGGTGGCCAACCCTCAATGTCCAGCCTGTGGGGTTCAGCACTATCTGGTGTTCCTGCTAGTTCCGGGGTTGAGCAAGATGGTAGTTGCTGTGATAACCCTGAAACAGTTAATTGTAACAGTGGCATCACCTCTTATCCAAGCTTTGCTGATTTTGCTGATGAACATTCGAAAGTATCAGTTGAGTCTGCTACACTGGTTGATGATGCTTCCACCAAAAACGACAAAGTAGCTGAATCTGTTGATTGCAGCAATACTGCTGGAAGCTGCATGTGCTCATTTTTTTATGACATCAAATTTCAAAGCAACTATGCTAGTAATGCAGAGGAATGCTCTCCGGTGAATGGGATCACAGAGAAGTTGGTGTTTCCGTTGCTTGAAATCGAAGCACCAAAGGTTATGAGCTTGACAAGCAGCTGTTCTTCACTGTCTTTGGCAGACAATGATCTGGATGCTGAGTTGAAGTCGGAACTTGGTACCATTGAATCACAGTACCAGCGCTGGTTCCAAGAACTCTCTAGGATGAGGGAGAAAGCATTGGAAGTGACTAGAAAGAGATGGATAGAAAAGAAGAAAGTGCCTGTTCACTAATTTAGATCATACTGAACCCATTTTTTCTCAAAAAATTTTCCCCCCTGTTTGGCCATTTTTATCTGCGTTTATAATGTTCACTGGTATTTCTATTTAACGGTCGACAAGATGTTTAACCTTTGTATTGGATGCGGCTCACTTTTTTCAGAAGTCGTGATCCTTCTCTGGACTAAATTTTGTGTTGATTTCCTGTTTGCTTTTGTTTGATGAGTATAAATAGTTTACCGGATTTGTTGATGAACGCTCAGCCGCATTTTTTATTGCAGATTTGACTATAACTTTGATAAAATCGTGAAGCGATGATGAAAGAATGGTCATTGCAGCAAAAGATAAAACAACACAATGTATGAATAATTAAGTATTATTTCCCTTTGTTGAGGCAATCCACAATGTCACCTCACAGTTTTGCCAAAACTCAAAACTGGAGCAAGTAAAACGGATCACAACTCTACGAACACAAAGATCTCCTTCTAAGAGTAATCAACCCAAGTGTGTCCGCAGTTGTTGTTCATACACCTGAAAAATCTTGTTTCTGCTTCATCAGCAGATCGCGTTTGCTGTGTCCTGTAAGCTGCCTCAGGAAATCCACATCTTGGGCATGGTTCTGCCAGTGAAGAGAAGAACAAGAAAGCACAGAAACAAGAAGTCAGACCTCATCTCTTGAAAAATTCGCAATTGTACAACAAAATTTTACAAGGCATTAGCATCAACAGGAGAACAACAAAATGAATTCAAGAATAAGACAGTGTCGTAAGCTTTGACATTCATATTCAAGCACCAATTGCTTGGCTGTATGTAATTTAAGTTGGACATTCATCATCAAGTTTTATGATTCAGTTGAGATTGCTACATTACAGACAACTACTGCAGATGTGTAAGAGTAGAACCAAGAGCAAGATCTCATACCAATTAGAGAAAAGAGGTTTAGCTATACCATGCAAAGCTCAAGATAACCTAAACCTTAATAAACCAATTTCAGAAACATTTTCACAGCATCAATTCCGCACAAGTCATCTATCAAGATTGTAAATTCCATAACACTGGATATTCCTCCACATCTGTGTGTGACATGCTTTCTGACCATATTCTGGTCCATTGGAATGACTGATTTTGCACCCTGACCACACCATGCTAACTAACTCTCATCTATCGTATCCTCAACCAAGGGTTTTTCCTTTCTGTAGAAGCATTTATTTAGGATTTCTCTCTTTTCTTGCCATTTAAATGGAGTCCAAATCTTCAAGAATTGGGCCCATCACCAATCACATTAAAGTCGAATTTTCATTTAATTTGACGATGAAACATGTGGAGAATTCTAAAAACTTTCTTTAATCTCAAGGCATGAAAGCTACTTCCCTTTAGTTCCCAAACTGGATAACATTTTGTAAGGATTCTTATAGTCATCAATGCTTATCACCTGCCATCTTCACCATAAACTAGTACCTTTGTTAAGAACAGATCAAGGGGAACTCAAGATATGGAAAAAGTCTGCTTCTGTGTAATAAGATACCTAACCCTTTTATGAAACAAGAACAACCCTCACAGATAACCTCTAAAGACCCTGAATTCCCTCAGATGATGAACCTTGTCCAACCAAAACCTAACAGATTACTCTAACAACCCAACTCAGAACTTAAAATTTAAATAATTTTCTTTACTTCAGTAACCACATCAAAAGTGCTGAACTGCTTATCAAGAAATAAGCTCAAAACAGCATGTTTCCGACCAGTTTTAACAAATATTCCTACTCTGATGAAGAAATTATGACTTGAACCAAAAGAAAGAGAAAAACAAGAAACCTCTAGGGCAGGAAAAATGAAACAAACCTTCAATTTTGGGTGCATTCTTATAGTCATCCAGGGTAAAGATGGGTTGGATTTCTTTTTTAACTAGATGTTGCCTTCTCTTGATCTTAACCTGCAAGTGCAAAAAGTAAACCAGCTATCACATTTTGTACACCCTTAAAACGCCATAACAAGAGAATTTTGAATATGAATCGTTAGCTATACCTTCCTATCGACGTATGCCACATAGGGGCAAGTTGGACAGAAGAATCTTGCATCGTGCATGTTCGGCAGCTCATACTGCAGCATATTTGCACAACTCGGGCAGAACTCCATTTCCTAAAGTTTCAAACAAGAAGTCTCTCTCTGCAATTCTTTTGGATTTCGACATGTCATTATACTGTATTTACTTATGCAACTACTAAGAACAATTCACACCAATACTAACCACATACAGGAAACTGAAAATAAAAAAACCCATTACACAATTTGACTTAAGAACAAGAAAAATAAAGCAAAATTGCAAAAGAGTTGAGCTAACTCCTAAGTATGAGTGTTCAGGTACCCGTTTGACAAGAACCAATAACAATCAATAGCCTAATGAGAAAATTTCAATTACTAACCAAACGTAAACATTATCAAGAAAATGAAAAACCCATACAAGAGGCACAGATAGTATATTTATTTATTCTCAGCAAAAGATTAAATCTTTATGCACCAAAGACATTAAAAACTCATCAAAATAACAAAAGTCCGCAAAAATATGCATAAAATGAATTCTGCGGCACTAAATTACATACCTTTCCACGGATTCAGAGGAAATCGGTTCGACCCAGTGAACTTGGCAGGGCTTTGCGTGAAACCCTAATCTCAGTCTCAGTCGTCGTCTTTTAATTTGATGAAGAGACGGTGCCTTGAGGTTTAATTTTAGTAAATTTTATGATGAAAAAGAAAGTCGATAGTTTTCTTAATAATTTGTAAAAATTTGTGTGGTAATTTTGTTTTCCACAGGAAAAAAACAGTTTGTATGGTAAATTAATTTTAATAATTTTATCATATTAATATTAATTGATGGAGCTTTTTAGAGAATTTCTATGATTAAAAAATGTTAGCAAAACTATAAGAATAAGTCTATCTTTTTTGCCTAATTTTTGTCTACGTTTTTTATTTATAAATTTCTTTCTTGTTTGTGTCACATTTTTTTATAGATTTTTTAGTTACCTTGTTTAGGCATATTGTAACTCTCTTTACTCTCTTCATAATCGATTACTCAGAAAGTCAAAAACCCAAAACCCTCATAAACCCTCAGCTTTGAAGAAAGGTACGGTAAAACCCCTCTCTCTCTCTCTCAGAGTCTTCCTGATGGGTAGGTAGGTATTGAAAAGAAGGATAGTCTCCCAGTAAGAAACAGCAATGCTTTAGGTTTTTCATTTAATTAAGGATGAATTGTGACACAACACCTTCAAAATATATTAAATTATTGTTGTCTTTCAAACTTTGGAAAGATTAGAGTACTACTCAACAATCCTGTCTTCTTTTTTTTTTGGTCAATGTTTGGTTTCAAAGAAACCAAAACGGGATAGATTGCAAACTGAGCCGGAAATACACGAACCAGGTAGAAGCAGCTAGACCTCAGTACAAGGCTAGAACCAAGCTTCTTACCCAGTCAAATTAAAACGAACAACAAACGCTAAGAAACAAAAAGAAAAGCCGTAAAACAGGAAGCTGAGAAAAGCCGCACCCCCAATAACCAGTTGGCAAGGCACCCAACGCAAGACCAAAACCACCAGAGAAGTCACAGAAACCAAAGAACCGAGAGGAAGATGGTGATGGATACGCCATCACAGCTACAGAGAGCGCTACCATAATCCGAGAGGTAAGTGTCAAAAGCACTTTAAAAGCATCCTCAACAGCAATAGTATTACTGAGGAGAGACGCACCAGAACGTAACACGGTGGAGAAGATCCAACAACGAGACAAAGCCGCAAGGGATCGGAGGAGAACATTCACAGTAGGAAACAAAGACAAACGCACAAAAGCATAGCTGCCGACACCTCCAAAAAGAAGACAGAGGCATAGAGTAGAGGGGCTGATAGAGCATAAAAGCATCTTTCTGTGAGGAATTGTCAGGAAAATGCCCCAACCATGACAATTCCAAAATTGTAGATTCATGGACCTCTTGTGGCTGTCAAAGGCCAGCCACCACCGCCGTCAATAAGACCATTCTTAACCCTCAGTTCAAGGATTTCCAACTCTTTGGATGGACTCACCACTACCTCACACAGCGATGAGTCATTGATTGCAGACTTAGCCACACCAGTGGAGCCGTGTTTTGTATTCTCTCATCAATCATCTTTGTTAATTTTATCCTTTTTTTAGACTCTTATCTCAATAATTGATCCCCAAAATGGTGTTCTTCAATTGGGTGATTGCTATTCAGTTTTAGGGAGAAGAAGACTTTGGCTTGATGGCTAACATCAAGCTTTGCAATTAATTTGTATTTGACTTTCTCTTTCTCTTTGTAATTTGTGTACAGCAGTAAAGAGATATTGATATTAAGCAAAGATCCTAATCAATGGAGGATTTAGCTGGGCCAAGGCTGTATGGCTGCTACAAGTGCCAAAACCATGTTTGCTGTCATGATGATGTTGTCTCCAAAGATTTTCAGGTGCATTTGTGTTTGATTTCTCCATAAACACCATGATGCATTGAAACTCTGCTCTAACCATTTGTGTTTGATTTCTCCATAAACACTATGATGCATTGAAACTCTGCTCTCTGGTGTGTGTTATAATTGACTACAAATTTGATATTTCAGTTTGTAGAAATCTTTCTTTGTCGGTTTAACGTGTTACATTTACCCATTGTTGATGTTTAAATGAATTTAATTTTACAGTATGACGTGTTATGTTGTCACACGATCAATGATCAGATAAATTCTTATATAAACGCAGGGTATATAATTGATTTGTGAATTCTTATTTGCTTTGCTTTGATAGGCAAGCCGGGGCAGAGCGTTTCTGTTCTCCCATGCAATGAATGTGGTTGTAGGGCCTACAGAGGACCGATATCTCATCACAGGCCTGCACACAGTTGCAGATGTACACTGCTGTGATTGTAAGGAGGTGTTGGGCTGGAAATATGTAAAAGCCTATGAGGAATTGCAGAAGTATAAAGAAGGAAAGTTTGTTCTTGAAAAATTTAAGATTGTCAAGGTGAATTGGTAGCATACTGAAATGGATTGTGGAATTCGTCTGGTTTGATTTTTCATAAGTTTCTATTCATCATGTACAAAAGAAGTCTATTCAACTGGCTTTGTGGTGTCCTTTGTGAATAATAATCTTGTAAAGGTAACCAAATGAACGAAGGAACATTTTATTTTGTGAGATAGTTTCACATTCGGTTGTCAGACAACATAATATGTTAGATATATGACAATATAGAACATAACCCTAACTATGTGTCAAACAATTGATATTAGTTTATCGAACAAAAAAACCTAAAAATTAAACAATTTGACAATACAAATTAAAAAAAAAAACATAACATATTAAATATCTGACAGCAGAACGTTACCCTATCCCTAAATTAGGTGGTAGTAACCATTGTGGATTGGAGAAGTTGGTATTGCTGAGGACTTGATACATGAGAAGGTGACAAGAAGGAAATTTGGAAGTTCATGTTGCCTCGCTGATCAAATGGAGAAGGTGCATTGTTGATCCTTGATAGGGATGGGAAATTTGGGCCTTAGCATTTTTCTTGTTCTAGGGCTTCACAACTTCTTTTTAGATTGTCCATTCTTTTTGTTAACTTTCTCCCTCATTTTAGGCATTGGTGCATTGCTGTGTGGGTTGATTGGATGCATACGAAAATAAAGGAGATGGTGATCTGCCCTTTCTGTGGATTGATGTTAATTAAAGGCAAAATGTCTATTAACTTTGTCTATTCTAATGGAGTAGTTGTTAAAATAAAGTATATTCTAATTAAGTGATCATTGCATTATCACCGACTTTTTTTGTATTTTCGTCGATATAACGACGAATGATGATTTAACTGGTTCCTATGATGCCATTTATCTTTGTTTGGTTTTTTTGGTCGACATCTTTGTTTGCTTTACTCGTCGTGACTAATGCTTTCTTGATAAATTTTATTTTCATTGCCCAGAATTTTGTTTTTTCTGCCAAGACGTGGGTCAGATGAATGTGACGGGAATATGCATAACTTTCTCAATTATGAGATATAAATTCCACAAACTAGAAAAGGAGATGTCAATGAAAAAAGAATGAGATATTTTGTTATATAGTCATTCTCAGCACTAGTAATATAGATAAATTATACACCATTTAATTTCTACAAATAAACCCAAAAAATGACATGTGGCTATATTGAATTTAATTTTGGGAGTGGTGGGGTGTGTGGGGTGTGGGGTGTATGTATAGATGTACTAGGGTTAATTATTAAGTTGGATGACATTTTTTGTCTTTTTACACAATAATAAAACTTACAGCTTAATGATTTAAGCATTGTGGTGAACAAAGAGAAGTGCGGGGTTTAAATAGAAAATCTCATAAAAAATTTCCTTTGCACCAAAGGACGCAACCTTATTCATTCCTTAAGGAACAGATGTCATGTTTAAAGCCAGATTGGTAACTAACTTTAGGCACGTTAGATCAACTAAATGTAGTTCTTATGAACGAGTTAGGCACAAAATAGATTAATAACTTGAGTGGTAGAGCACTTAATTATTTAGAATAAGAATTCGACTTTCGCTCTCTTTTTCCTTCAATAAATAAATATGAAAAACTGCCCATACCAGTGCTTAAGAGAGATCAAGCAGAGAACAAACTCTCAAACTTCATGGGACAAGAAATACCTCAAGAGTGGAGGGCATTACCACTCAACTTCCACCAGGATATTCCAAAGAATATCATAGCATCTCCTAATCCCTCGTGATCCCCAAGCACAATAAAAGTAGATCCACCAAAATCAGCAGCTCCACCTCCGAAACAGAGAGAACAACACTAGATCTACTACACAAGTAGCAGATCTAACAAAATCTGCCAAAAATCAGCCCCAAAAGACTGGGAAACAAGCCCTCAAGAACAGAGGGAAGAAACAAACCCTTGCAACAGCAAGGAGTAAATAAAACCCAACAAAAGTTGGGAGGGAAAACCTCTCCACAACATAACGGGGGGGGAGAGAGGCCCGAATTATTTACCGAAGGGGGTGGTTCCAGGGGAGATCCCCTGGAACCAAGGAGAGCTGAAAATCTGTGTTGGCTTTGGGTTGGGAGGAGAAGAAGAGTCGAGAAGAAGAAAGGTTAGAGAGGTGGATTGAATGAGATATTTTGTTATATAGCCATTCTCAGCACTAGTAATATAGATAAATTATACACCATTTAATTTCTACAAACAAACCCAAAAAATGACAGGTGGCTATATTGAATTTAATTTTGATTATTAAATTACTTTAATCACCTATTGAGTGTTTTGGGTTTTTTTTATGAGATTTTGGGTTTTTTTTTATGAGATTTTGGGGTTGGGCTTGTTTTAAGAAATTGATGACAGTTTTGTAATTTATAGGATTTTCGAAGCCTCTTTGTTCTATTGTAAATGAGATTTGGGTGTGTTTTTAAAGTTCATTTTATGTAGGATTTTTATATCGTTTGGGCCCATATATTGGGTATAATAGTGAATCTCCTAAAAAGAAATGTGATGCCATAGAAGAATCAGAATCATTACATACCACAAAAACTAAGCTTTTATGATTAATGTATAAAAGGTTTAGATTAAAGGCTTTAAGTCTCGAGTTTTGGACTTTGATATAAATAAAAAATTTCCTTTGCACTGAGGGACGCAACACAACCTTATTCATTCCTTAAGGAAAGATGTTATGTTCAAAGCCAGATTGGTAACTAACTTTAGGCATGTTAGATCAACTAAATGTAGTTCTTGTGAACGAGTTAGGCACATAATAGAATAGATTAATAACTTGAGTGGTAGAACACTTAATTATTTAGAATAAGAATTCGACTTTCGCTTTCTTTTTCGTTCAATAAATAAATATGAAAAAACTGGCCATCTCCTTCCGTCCCACGTTTATCATCGGCACTGACCTACAGGTGTGGGTGGTACCAAATGCTCCAAAGGGCTGGTTACCCTTTATTCTTCATTGACTTATTAGTGAGAAAAGAAAACAATAAAATCGGACGGCAGCGATCCTTGACAGAACAACAAAGTAGAAGAATCCAAACAACCAAATTGATAAGAAAGAAAGGAAGCTTCATAGAAGCCAAAGCTCACGGACAACTTAAGCTTCTCTCTCTTTGAAGATTACGTTTAGCCACAGGGGTCCCTATTCCCCCACCAAGAAGAACCTTCCTAGAAACCGTTCAAATTAATTGAAATAAAAAGCAATATCAGATTAGAACCAAAAATAAATAAATATCAGATTGGTCACATTATATGTCAGGAGGACTTGGAATTTCAAACATTTTTAGGCCATCCACGTGTCTTGTTCCTTGATGAACCAACCGTCCATTTGATCGACTTTCAACATCACGTATGTATAAATTCCCTTCCATGATGTGTGGATTGCTTTAGGCAATTTGTGGGTAGTGGGGCATCAAGGCTTTTAAGGTCTAACAACCCAAAATGGGTGGCTAAGATTGAAGGAGAACTCAAAGCCTACAGCCTAGGCATGTAGCCAATTAATAGTGACAAACAATGATCTACAATGAAACGCTTTTGACTTGCATATCAGAGGTATCATATTCGAATCCATGGTATTATAGTTGTTTGTGTGTGAGAAATCTCCTTCGCTTAGAATAAAAATCAATATCAGATTATAACCAAAAATAAATAAATATCAGATTGGTCACATTATATGTCAGGAGGACTTGGAATTTCAAACATTTGTAGGCCATCCACGTGTCTTGTTCCTTGATGAACCAACCGTCCATTTGATCGACTTTCAACATCACGTATGTATAAATTCCCTTCCATGATGTGTGGATTGCTTTAGGCAATTTGTGGGTAGTGGGGCATCAAGGCTTTTAAGGTCTAACAACCCAAAATGGGTGGCTAAGATTGAAGGAGAACTCAAAGCCTACAGCCTAGGCATGTAGCCAATTAATAGTGACAAACAATGATCTACAATGAAACGCTTTTGACTTGCATATCAGAGGTATCATATTCGAATCCATGGTATTATAGTTGTTTGTGTGTGAGAAATCTCCTTCGCTTATAGTTTAGACTATCGCTTGTATTAAAAACAAAAAACCAATGATGTATAGCTTCTACAGAAAAAGCAAGTAACTTTCCATATGCTTATAAAGGCCTAAGCCAACCATTATATATACATTCCTCATAGTTGTGCGAAGTCCTTGTGGTATTTGTTTTTGTATCAAAGTTTCCACTCTAGCAAACCACGTTAGAAATAGAATATTGTCTTTGAGCAACAGCAGCAGCTGACCATGGAAACCAATGGCACCACAAGGAAGACCACAGCAACAACAGAATATCAGGACTTGTTGCCAGTTATGGCAGAGAAGCTGGACGTGGAGAGCTTTGTGTCTGAGTTATGCGGGGGTTTTCGGCTTCTTGCAGACCCCGGAAGAGGGTTTATCACCCCGGAGAGCCTGAAGAAGAATTCGGCGTATCTCGGGATGGAGGGGATGAGCAAAGAGGACGCGGAGGCGATGGTTGGGGAAGGAGATCTTGATGGAGATGGTGCACTCAATGAGACTGAGTTTTGTATCCTGATGGTGAGGCTGAGTCAAATAAAAAGCAATATCAGATTAGAACCAAAAATAAATAAATATCAGATTGGTCACATTATATGTCAGGAGGACTTGGAATTTCAAACATTTTTAGGCCATCCACGTGTCTTGTTCCTTGATGAACCAACCGTCCATTTGATCGACTTTCAACATCACGTATGTATAAATTCCCTTCCATGATGTGTGGATTGCTTTAGGCAATTTGTGGGTAGTGGGGCATCAAGGCTTTTAAGGTCTAACAACCCAAAATGGGTGGTTAAGATTGAAGGAGAACTCAAAGCCTACAGCTTAGGCATGTAGCCAATTAATGGTGACAAACAATGATGTACAATGAAACGCTTTTGACTTGCATATCAGAGGTATCATATTCGAATTCATGGTATTATAGTTGTTTGTGTATGAGAAATCTCCCTCGCTTATAGTTTAGACTATCGCTTGTATTAAAAACAAAAAACCAATGATGTATAGCTTCTACAGAAAAAGCAAGTAACTTTCCATATGCTTATAAAGGCCTAAGCCAACCATTATATATACATTCCTCATAGTTGTGCGAAGTCCTTGTGGTATTTGTTTTTGTAT